CTCTCCCCTGAGAACCCCTTCAAGTAAGCATTCACTGGCTCAAGCTTCTCCCTTCCTACGCCCATTTTGTTAAAAGCAGAGGCGAAAATGATGTCGGCCGAGCTCCCATTGTCAATTAGAACTCGATGAATAGTTTGGTTTGCCACAATGGCCCTTACGACCAATAGGTCATCATGGGGATACTGATAGCCTTCCAAGTCTGAATCTGAGAAAGTGATGGTTATGCTTAGCCGACGTATTTTGGACACGGTGTGTACTTTCAACGCTTCTCCAGCTCTGATTCTGCGTAGGTGTGCTTTCTTGGCTGCACTGGATTTTCCACCACCAGCAAATCCTCCAGATATCACTCTGATCTTCCCTAAGGGTTGCTGGTGCTGCGCAGGGGCTTGTTGATGGGGTGCCGGAGCCTTGTCTTGGTTGTCATGGGCGATAAATCGTCGTAACTATCTCCTCTGGATCAAGAACTCGATCTCCTTCTTTAGCTGGATGCAATCGTCGGTATGATGACCATAATCCCTATGATACTCGTAATATTTTGTAGGGTCTCTTTTAGACAGATCCGCCTTCATTCGTGGAGGCCACCTTTGGAATTTCTCGTTCTGCACTTCGTATAGGATCTGGGATACAGTCGCAATGAGAGGGGTATATTACTGAGATGCATACCTCGACTGTAGTTCAGGCTGCGGGGGCCTAAGCGGTCCCTAACGTTCCCCCTTCTTTTTGGGGATCGCTCTTTGTCTCTTCTAGGAGATCTGTTTCTTTCCCTCTCTCTCCTAGGACTTCTATTCCTCTTTTTCTCTTCATTTCCCTTGTCTCTATGTGCGGAAGAGCTCCTTACCTTAAAAAGAAGAGCTTCTTCGTCGTTTATGTATTTCTCCGCTTTGGCAAACACCTCGCCCATGCTTACTTGGAGATTTTTTGATATAAAAATATCAAATCTTTAGACTGCACCCTAGACCAGCTATGAAGGCAATGATGACGAACTTTTCGTCTGGGACATCCACCTTTAATGACTCTGAATTAAATCTTTGGACATACGACCTGAGATTTTTTTGTGGTCCTTGTTTCACATTCAAAAGGTGATAGCTCGGTTTTTTATAGGTTCGAGCTCCTATGAAGTGGAATATAAAGGAAATGGAAAGTTCTTTAAAGAAAAGATTGAGGCTGGGGGGAGCCTGTTAAACCACGCCAAGGCAGAACCCTTCAAAGTGATGGCAAAGGCTCGACAACGTACAGGATACTGATACCCGTGTAATTCCATCTGGTTCTTATAAGTATTGAGGTTGTCCATGGGGTCCCTGGTTCCATCAAAGGACTCTATTTGAGGCATCCTGAACTTTGGTGGGAGGGGAAAATGCAACACCCCAGGCGTGAATGGAGATTCAGTCTGCTGCACCAAGGCGTCCATTGTAACTGGAGCTTTACTCATGATCGATTCCTTCATGTGGCTGAGCTCCTGCTGGATGCCCTTGAAGCGCTGCTCCCAATATTGCTCCCTTCTCTTCTGCTGATAAGGGAAGACATCATTCTTTTCACCTTCAAGGTTTTGACCTTGTACTTCTTCATTGTGGTCGTTCTTAGGGGTAGTTGGGGAACCTACCCCAAGGTCTGGCTGTTCTCCCCCCTTCGTTGTCTTCTCTGAGTGGATTAAGGTGTTATTGGTCCCTGTAGTGGGGACTGTTCTGATCTTCTTGGGCGAGACGTGCCTCCTGTGGGCGCTGCAATAGCTCCTTGTTTTGTTTTATCAAGCACTGATTGACGAGGCGAAGAGCCTCTATCTCGTTATTTGTAGGGGGATTCCCCATGGGAGGATCTGTCTCTAGGACGTTATCGAGCTTCTGCTCATGTTTCGTGTTGACACCATTAGTCACTGAAAGATCAGCTTATTTGTAACAGGAACAGTCGTTCCACAGACGGCGCCAAACTGATGGCATAAATCAACGTAGATGAGTAAAAAGAGCTAGTAACGTGAGATAAGCATAGATCAGAGCTGCAAGATTCGTGTATTATGCTACAATTAAATATTGAGGGGATTTGAGGGGTGTACACAGTGAAAATATAGTAGTTCACCGACTCAAGAGCTCAGCTAGTCTACTTTTCAATGGAGGTTCTTGCTCTTTTTTTTTTCTATTGACTGGTTGAATGTAATACAAGACAATGCTAAACTAATTAGGGTTTTTCTCTCTTCCGTCCGCCTCACGATGAGGCGTTGCATAGTATTTATAAGGCTACCCCTATTCTATGGAATTTCAGCCAATATCTTTGCCCATTATTCATGAGATCTTCCTTGATTTTAGGAGAGAATCTTAGTTGATTGAGAGTTTCATACATGGAGCCCAATTCCCGCAGTCACCCAGCTGTTTCATGGTCGATTCAGTTACAATCTCCCCAAGGGGAACTCCACCCCTAGTTCTCTGAGTTCCTCATGTCTTTCCCAACCTCCTGACCCGACCTCTTGACCTGACCTTACAGGTAGAACTTGTTTGAGGTATCATCACTACCAATCAATTTAATTTCAAGTTTTTCACAGTAAGGATGCTCATTTGAAACAATTAATAAATGTCAAGTCAAAAGACTCAACATATTACAATAACAATCCACACCCACTTTCTTGCTCGTTTCTTTTTCTGGCTTCAACACCCGATTGTTTTCCAGATACTAAAAGAAGAAAATAAAAAAAAAGAAACTACTCATTTCAATTTGAAAGATGAAGCATCTTCAAGTAGAATTAGGATGAATGTTGGAGGTGGTGGAGCATCTGTCTTTGGATAGGTGGAGTAGCCTTTTTGACTGGGGGACGTGGTCCATAAGTTGGTGGTCCAGGTGGAAATGGTTTCTTGTGTGCTGGAAAGCTAGTGGAAAGGAACTGTTATATTTTGGTGTTGGTGAAGGAGGTGGCTGATTAATAATTGGTGGTCGAGGAAGTGTCTATTTATATGCTGGTGCCGGCTTCACTACAAGAAAAACAATGATTTCCGGCGTTTGACAAATGCCAGAAAAAAGCCAAAAATTGCTGATTCCCGGCGTTTCCAACAACCGCCGTCTAAAACAGCGTCGGCAAAGGTACCAGCATTTAGCTAAACGCTGGTGATAGAAAACCGATGCTTATTCCAGAGACAAACGCCGGTGAAAAGGAAAAAAAAAAAAAAAAGGACAAAGAATGCTTCGTTTACAATTTGTAGATGAAGATCTAAGGAGAAAAGATTTGTTTACAATCTGTAGGTGCAGATCTATGAAGAAAAATAACCAAAAAAAGACCAGAATCTATGAGGATCTCTTCAGCAAGTTTGCAACCTGTAGCCGATCCTCAGAGATAAGCATTCCAACCATAAGTGGTAAGCTTGAAAGCTTGCAACCTGTAGCTCCACTCCTTTATTTGCTATATAATCTACAGCAGAGTTGACTTCCCAACAAATTTGCCAATTCTTTAAGTCCATGCCCATTAGAAGTCTCAAAATCTTATCCCAAATGTGTGTAGGCTCCAGGAAACACAAACCTTACCAAAAATCATATCAAATGACAACATCCAATATCAAAAATCACCTTCCTTTTTCTTGCTCCCATTCATCCTTAATCTTCAGACTGGTGGATGGGAGTTTCGTACTACCTTCCATTCTACGCAATTTCCTGTCCACCCACCTAGAAGGGAGGCATTTTCCCTCATCTAATTAACCTCTGAATTCCGTTTTTGATGTTTCAAAATAAAGCTCAGTAGCAAAATAAAGCTTTTTCAACTTGGAATGGCTGCACATCAACATCAATCTGTAACCACTTAGATGACGTGCTGCAAACAAACTGCATGGATCAAATAAATCATCTCCAGCGCACATAACTGCTCTGTTCCATCTCATGACATTGACTTCATTCCCTTTTCCACCCTTGGGAGCTCCTCTTTTTCTCCTCTGCCAGTTCAAAGTAAAATCTGTCCTGTTTTTTGTCCTCTACCAAATGTGTATGGTCTCCACGAAACACGAACCTTACCCAAAATCATATCAAATGACAACATCCAATACCAAATCATAAATTACTTAATGCTGTCATCCAAAGGAATGGCTTGTTCTACACAACATGAAACCAAAAAAACACAACAATATAAGCATGAGTATTGTAATGATGGTCAAGTATTACAGTAAGTAGTTATCTACTACAGCTAACAACATATTTGAATAAGAAGAGAACTCTGTTCCATCACAACACACCTACTGTATCAGAATACAATTCTAACAAAAATTTTCAATAAACATACCAGTATATTTGAATAAGAAGAGAACTATTACTATACCTCAAGGCACGAAGTCGCATTTTGGACTCCATTTTGTGCAGATCCGATGGCCCTGCTACAATGCCAACAGCTTCGTTCTCTCCTATTGTACATTTTCATACAATAGAATGTGCTCTGTTTTCAAGATTGGTAGATAACAGTTGGTGAGTAAAGTTAAACCGCCAAGAAAAGTAAACAATTATCTTCAAATTGCAATGCTGGAGCACAGCGACACTTATACCTAGAGCTGAAAATTCATGTCTGACGACTTACGGTGATGTTGTTCTCTAGTTAGCTATAGACATAAACAAAAACAAAAAAAAAAGATACAATTTAGGGAATTCACAAAATGATTAACTCCTTGACAGAGCTCGATTGAGAGAGACACAGAGAGAGAGAGTCTTTCACTTCAAGTCGTTGGTTGAGTATGAGTGAGTGAACTCAGTAAGATGCCAACCAACATGTAATGCGATGCTTATGGCAATCGAATCAGTTAATTTATATGCCGCCTCAGTTTACGATCGCTCTCACACTTCTCCGATAGAACTTCATCAACCTATCATTCAACAACAAAATCTATGACAGCTGGGCAATAAAGAGATGCTGGCGGTGGTGATGAGGAAGAACGCTGGCTGGAAGAGAGGTGATCTGGGGAAAAGTAAACTGGAAATCAAAGTTCTGTTTTGGGGAATATGAAGTAAAAAAGAAAAGAAAATGGAAAAGGAAAAGAAAAATGTCTCGAACAAAGCCACACATTTTTTTGAAAAAAAAATTAAAAGCTACTTACAGACGTTTAAATCAAACGTCGGTGACGTCCACAAATATTTCAGCGCTTACTGCAAAACGAGATGAAATATCTCTTTTTCCCTACACTTTTGTAAATGCCGGCTAACAAACGCCAGGAAAAGTCTATTTTCTTCTTGTTTTTAGTAGTAGGAATTGGTGGTGGAAGTGGTTTCTTGGATATTGGAACTGGTAGAGGAAGAGATTTTTATAATTTGGCAATGGTGCTGGCGATTGGAATGGTGATGGTGATGGAGCAAGAGGTTTGTTATAAACTGGCATCGGTGGCAGGAGAAGCTTCTTAAAAATTGGTGGTGCCACTGGAGGAGGTAGGCTACTGTAAGTAGGGCCTGGTGGATGAACTAGCTTTTTGGATGTTGGAACTGATGGACAAAGTGGTTTTTTGAAAAATGGAACTGGTGGTGCGTAGTGGCTTCTTGAGTATTGGAATTGGTGGAGGAAGTGGATTTTGAAAATAGGAGCTGATGGTGGAGATGGATTTTTAAATACTGGAACTGGAGGTGGCATTTTGGGGGGAGGGGGAAGAATTTCTTGTAAATGGGAACAGGCGGCGGGACTGATTTTTTCATGGATTTTGGAACTGCTGATGGTGTTTAAGTTCTTATATGTTGGGATTCATGGAGGAAGTGACTCCTTGTATACTCGTGCTGGTTGTGGAGGTGACATTGCATAAACTGGAGTGGGTGGAGGAACCTCTGGTGGTGGTGGCAGATACTCAGGATATTCAATTGGTGTTCCTGGTAATGGTGGCAGCTTAGGCAATGGTGGGTACTGAAACAAGGCCACAAAAACAACATAAGTGCATGTAGCTGGAGAGAATTTCATGTTTCCATCCAGACCTAGTATTAGTTTTCCTTTGTCTTTGGACTTGATGATTAACTTCAAGGCCTTTTGGAAATCGCGGACAGGACAAGGCGCACCTGAGGCACTGTGAAGCTGTGCAAAGCATTCGTCTTTCAATTCTCCATCTTGTAAAATCACTCGAATAAGAGATACATTGAATTTCCCATTCTTATCGACATCACCAGCCACTCGTGTCTCGAGTCCTCCATTTGCAGACTTGCAACTGATGGTGACAAGCAGCCCTGCACAAAGTAATTTAAAAGATCATAGTCGATTGCATAATCGTTTGGCATGATAATAAAAACATGGCTTGTTTTAGATCTGAAAAAATAATGTAGCCCTACTTCCTAGCAGAATGAGCTGCAATGGTCCATTGTTGTCACCGAGTAGTTCAATAACAAGAAGCAAAGCAATTCTTCAGGTCTCAGTGAAAAAATCGTTTTAACAGTGAAATTGAACAGAAGAGACCAACTGTTACACTTTACGAAACAATTGAAGTGGCAATTTAGAATGGGGATATAGTTCCAGGGTCATTTTTTATGTTTACACTAACAATTATAATGTGAAAAGATCAGTTATTCACCTCTGTTGTAAAGGTGAAGAGGACATTGATCCTTGTGAACAGAGAGAGAGAGAGAGAGAGAGCATTATGACAATGGTGGCAGCAAATCTAATCCAGAGCTATAAGGGTGTAGGAGTGATTTCTTGCAGGCATGGAATCATAAAAAATTGAAAAACCTATGCCGTAGTTAATTTTTTCCTTTATACTTAATGCTGGATTTTGACAGATAAGACTATTAAAGACTGGCATATACTTCAGCCAAATAAAAAAGGGATGCATACTCTTTTCAAGATGTATATCAAACGCTAGCCTCAGAACTTGTGTTTTTGTATCGACGTAAAACAGAAAAAAAGCATTACATTATCATTTAATAAGAAGCAGACACATATGCACAATATTCCCAATTATTGTACTATGGTTTCAAACATACACAACCAAAACATCATAGAAAATAGGGGTTTATATAAGCTGAGTCGTACCATGTGGGTAGATTCTCAATCTCGGTTCAAATCAAATGAAGTTTGAAGTTGGCTTGATTATCTCGAGCTCGAGCAAACCCTAACCAAGCCACTAAATGAAGTTTTAATAAGGTCAAAATATACCATCAGGGTTGGGATAGAGTCATAATGCAGCAACACATATATAGACAGAGGACTGTGGGCAGTTATTGGCAATGAACTTTTCAATGTACAAAATGAGTAACTAAAAGGAAAAGGGGAAAAAGCTAAAAGGCCAATTGGAAACTATAAACAATTATAGCTTCCCTGAAAGTCTCAGCACTAAATATTGACAACAAAAAGTTCGACCAAGTAAAAAATAAAAACATACTTTCTTCATGAGAACAAGAGCCTCACCAAGGAATCTCTTTCTCACCATCAACTACAGGTTTTAAAATTTCCCTGAGAAGATCAGAAGCTGAATCTATTTATTCCTGCAGCATTAAGAAAGAACTACAAGAAAGTTACATGGAAGATGCAACTCTCAACAATACTCTGGAATAAAATTCCTATGATAGTGTTGAAGGGTGTGTTTGTGCATAGTTAGAGAAAAAGTGTAGTACATGGGTGTTACAGATAAGGTGACCGCTATGCTCATTACGGATAAAACAAATTCTTCATAGCCTTTCTACAAACAAAAATAGGTGGCAAAACCTTGATTACGTATGAAAGAGCTAAACCTAGGAATTACCGACACTTCCCGAAGGGGTGCCGTGGCAATGTCGGACAAGTCTCTGAGACAGAACCGGATTAGTGTCCGACACCGTTAGAAGTGTCTAAATAGTGAACACAATCGGACTCGGCCAATACACATTGCAACACATTTGATACATTGAGTGTGCAATATGAAAAATTTAATCTTTGATGGTGCAAAATGAGAATCTTGAAATCTTTCAGGGTGCAAAGCGCAATTCACCTAGTAGATATCTTGGGTCGAAAGCCAAAACTTAGACAAAGACTCAAGTATCAAGCCCAAATTCAATGGAACAATCAAAAACCTAAATTCAAGCAATAGGGAAGCTAATTTCAAGATTGAATTCTTTTCATTTTGGGGAGAATGAGGCAGAATGGGTGACGAGAATTTTGGAATTTTATTTAAACTTAGTCAACCAGTTCAATCAAGAAATTCTATAAGATTTTAATTTATTTCCAAACTTAATTAGGAAAATACTTTATTTTATTAGTTGTTTTAGGGTTTCTACTACTATATAAACTCTTGTAAATCTTGGGGCAAAATAATTTTTGGTGAATTAATATAATTGAGAGAAAATTCTCTTTTCTTCCCAATTCTTTTAGTATTGTTTAAGAATCAACAAATTTATTGAAATCTTTAAAACTGATATTCTATGTGAATCAATAGGCCTAAGTAGGATTCTAAACCGGTATTTGTGACCTAATAAACGACTTAGTTTCGTTCTATTTTTCAATCCCCTTCTTGTTCCTTATACTCGTGTTTTCACCCGTTTCCCGGCATTAGTGATTAATGTGTAACATAGATATTTCACAATGAATACACCATATCAATAGAAAGATATGATTGATCTTCTAGTATTAAACAAAGGTAAATTTAAAAATTAAAAGTTTAATTTTTAGTGCATTTTTATTTTGATGTTAAATTAATTAGTTTTAATCATTCATTCCCTTTTGCTCATCCTTTCATTTTTCATTAGATGATAAATTTTCAAGTGTTTAATCATCCATTCACTTTTGCTCTTTCTCTAAATATCAGCTTTACCATCTTTCTATATTCATTGCACCGTCCAATATAAATGTCTCCACAACCATATAAGTTTGTATCCTCAGTCCTCTTTACAACACACCACTCTCTCTCCATATAATAAAAGTTAGCTAATACCATTCATGTTAAATTTTCTAAGGATGTTTTCACTTGTTTCTATCATTGGTATTTATTTTTACTTTCTCTAGAGTTTAGGGAAAGCATAGTTCAAGGTCGCGATATCAACCATCGACTCGGAAGGCTTTGAGATACATCAGTCGCGGCACGGAATCAAGAGGTTCAAGTTATATCGTGACATCAAGAAACCGTATCGGCTGATTCGATGGCGATAACTTAACTGGAATAAAACTCGGACAACTCAGGATTTATACGTATCATATAACGGTATCGTCTCAAAAAATGTCGAGTCGGATACGATCGGTCGATTTGTATCGATATTGGTTGACACTTTCAACCATGAGTGGAAAACAAACTGAGAGGTATTACCCAGACATGAAAATTGGCTCGAACTAACAACCTCTTGTTCCGAGTCTCCAATTTTAAGTTTGACAAAAAACTAGAAATGTAAAACTTAAAAATTTTATAAACTTGAAATTAGATCTAGGGTTTCGATCAACTTGTTCTCGCTTCGTTTCTTGTAAAAACAAACCAATAGCTTCTACTCTGACATAGAAACCTGCTGGAACAGACAGTGTCTCGTTCCAAGTCTCGGTTTGAAAGTTTAATAAAAAACTAGAAATGTAAATACTTTTAAGAATTTTAAAATTCGATCTAAGAATCCAATCGACCCGTTCTTGCTCTGTTTCCAACGAAAATAAGCCGAGAGTTACTATCTAGACAAAAATACTTTTTTGAACTGACAACGTCTTGATTAGAGCCTCGGTTAGGGAGTTGACAAAAAATTAGAAATGTGAATACTCGAGAGTTTTAAAAACATGACATTCAATCTAAGGGTCCCAATCAACCCGTTCTCGCTATGTTTCTTGTGAAACAAACCGACAGCTACAACTCGAACATAAAAACTTGCTCGAGCTGACGGCATCTCAATCCAAACCTCAGTTTGAGAGTTGGACAAAAAACTAGAAAAGTAAAACCTTAAAAAAATTAGTGTTCGAGTTGGAGGGGCAGGAGAAGCAGTGGGTCCCATCCCCATGGACGGCGCCAGGGGCTTGGGCGACTCCATCTCAAGCATGGTTCAAGCCTCATTTCGCAAGGCCATTGATGGAAATATCGCTCTAGTTGCTGAGTCTCTTCCTCCAGACCATGGTGGTGACTCAGGTGCGATGGACAGCTCCAAGAAACATGCTGGCAGGTATGGTGGCACCTTGGGTAGCGTGAGGAAGCGCCCAAGCAGTGACTTGAGTAGACCGAGCTCTCAATGCTACTGAAGATTCCCTACATATGCACCTCGAGCTAGTGATCATAAGCTGCGGGGTCTGAGTTTAAATGTCTAAACTAGGAGGTTTGAGTTTAACCTTAGCTAATTTTTAGTATCATCAGTTGCCTCCCAATCTCTAGCCAGGTGAGCCTTGTCGGACGTGAATTGGAATTGATCTGTGCTATGGTAGACAAGTTCAACTCAGCTCAATTTGTACTCAAGAGTCACATGATGGGACGTTTTTTAAGATTTTTGATGTTGCACGTGTGTGAGGAGTCATTTTGCCTCGTTTATCGCACAAGTTCTGCATCTATGCGCCACGAGTCCAATTGTACGCGTGCCACAAATTCTTTCGCTAGCTAAACCACCAAAAGACCCCCTGTTTCCAATCTCTTTTATTATTTTGAATTCTTTGGCGCCTCTACGCATAAAACTTCTTTCTATTGTTTTTTGCAATTTCATTTGCTTCCTCTTCCTTATTGTCTAGGCTGACTCAGTGAGTGCTCAGATTATTTGTAGATCTTCCTAAAGCTTGCTCTATTCTTCCCTGGTGGCCCCTTTGAGTTCTCCACCGTTAATCATCCCCGATTTTTAATTATGTTTTCTATTTTGCCCCTTTCTTTCCTTCTCTCTCCTAGGGTTCTTGGTCAACTTCGAATCCTACAAATTCGAGGTGGTTACTACACTTATGGACCTTTCGCGGACTAAACCACCAAAAGACCCCTTGTTCCAGTCTTTGTCATTATTTCGAATTATTTGGCACCTTGACCCATAAAACTTCTTTCTCTCAGTCTTTTGCGATTTCATTTGCTTCCTTTTCCTTGCTGTCTAGGCTAACTCGGTGAGTGCTCAAATTATTTGGAGATCTTCCTAAAGCTTGCTTTATTATTCCCTAGTACCCCCCTTGGGTTCTCCACCGTTGATCGTCCCCAATTTTTAGTTACGTTTTCTATTTTGTCCTTTTCTTTCCTCCTCTCTCCTCGGGTTCTTGTTCAACTTTACATCCTACGAATTCGAGGTGGTCACTCCACTTCTGAACCTTCTGCTTTTATTATTTTAGAAGTCAAGGTCGTTCCTTGTCCTTTCTTTCCCTTTTTTTTGGATCCCTACGCCACAACTATGGTCTTCCTCTTTGGTCGCCGGAGTCTTGTTCCTCAAGCCCTTAAGGACTGTTTCTCGTACGTTCTTTCTCTTTATGCTTCTTTTGGCCATTTTTCTCCTTGTGCTATCATGTTTGCCTCATATGAGGCCACAGGTTCTTCTGTCTCCCTTGCCATGGCTAATAGGTCACCCGAGGTTGAGGTCCAATCTCGCCGTAATAGACGGTTGAGGATCCTGACGAAGCCAAAGATCTAGGTGATGTTGGAGGGGAGATAGACAATTTTTCTGGGGTTGATGTCAAGGGTACTAGGGTCGACGATCCCTAGCTTTTTCTAGGGGCACCTACGAGACCTAAGAAAACTCGAAAGAGGCAATCTAGGAAGGGCATAACTGAGACCTCCAGCGCTGCCGAGGGTGATGAGGCCAATCCTAGTGCCTCAGATACCTCAGGACCCAATAAAGCCACCTCTCCTGTTCTGAGTACTCTTTCTACTAAATTTGGCTTTTCTAAGGGCATGCGTATCTAGAGTCCCAGTGTGTATAACCGATATGACACTGTGCTTCCTGTACTTTCTCTTTATGCTTCTTTTGGCCATTTTTCTCCTTGTGCTATCATGTTTGCCTCCTATGAGGCCACAGGTTCTTCTGTCTCCCTCGCCATGGCTAATAGGTCACCCGAGGTTGAGGTCCAATCTCGCCATAATAAACGGTTGAGGATCCTGACGAAGCCAAAGATCTAGGTGATGTTGGAAGGGAGATAGACAATTTTTCTGGGGTTGATGTCAAGGGTACTAGGGTCGACGATCCCTAGATTTTTCTAGGGGCACCTACGAGACCTAAGAAAACTCGAAAGAGGCAATCTAGGAAGGGCGTAGCTGAGACCTCCAGCGCTGCCGAGGGTGATGAGGCCAATCCTAGTGCCTCAGATACCTCAGGACCCAATAAAGCCACCTCTCCTGTTCTGAGTGCTCTTTCTACTAAATTTGGCTTTTCTAAGGGCATGCATATCTAGAGTCCCAGTGTGTATAACCAATATGACACTGTGCTTCCTGTACTTTCGAGAACGGTCTCAGGTTCCCTTCAACATTTCTTGAAGTCTGTTCTTCAACACTTCAACGTCTGCCCAGCTAAGCTTTCTCCCAACTTTTGAGGTATCATGGTAAGCCTCATGGTCTTCTTTAAGAAGAACGATTTAACTACCCCCTTTGGTTCCTCTACTGATGCATTTCTTCAATGTTAAGTTCTCCCCTACTGATGGCTTTCTTTATATCGCGAAACGAGTGAAAACCCAACATTTGATCACCGACCTTCAGAGCTCCCACAAAGGTTGAAAAAACCACTTCTTCTTTGTGTCTGACAAGGAGTGAGAGTTCAACCCGAGGGCCACCTCTTACACACTCTTGTACCTCAGGCTTGGTCAAGCCCAGACAATTTGGGTAACCCGCACTGAGATGCTTTGGTTTGAGTTTCTCCTTATCTTGTTTCCTACAATTGCTGATCTCTTCTTTTATTGTTTTAGGTATTCATCTTGAACTTGACACTGGCAAGAGGCTTCTTCTTAAAGACCTCAAGGAGTGCCAACCCGAGAAATATACCGATCTTCTCACACCTTCGGTCCTTGCAAGATACGGTTTTGGACCTTTAGAGACGAGAGGTGAAGCTGTCTTACCCCAGTCTGCACTCAACAGCAAAGTCTTTGCTAGTAAGACATTTGCCATGTGCATTGGGTTTACTTTTATTATGTTGATTCCTTGGCTAATTGATTTTCTATCCAGCTCTAAGTGTCATGGCCCCTAATGCTGTGAAGGCTAAGCTAGCTAAGATGAGAGAAGACGTTTAAGTGCCTATAGCTGCCAAAAAGAGGAAGGCCAAGGTCGGATTAGGCGACGATCCAAAGCGTCCTCTAAAGGCTTCCAAGAAGGATTCTCCAAAAAAGACTTCAGCTCCCCCCAGTCTGTCGTGGAGGTCCCTTCAATTTCTTCCCCTATTTCCGAGCTTAAGAAGCCTCGTGCAAAGGTCGTCAAGACCCCCTCAAGTCAAAAGAAGGGGTCGAGGCTTCAGAGGCGATAGCCCCATCTCTTTGAGATCCCCCTCTAACGAAGTCCGCTGAGGGAACATCCTCTAAATCACTTCTCGGCAAACCTAGGAGCTCTTTAGCTAGGATGGCCAAGGGTGTACGTTCTCTCATCAGGGACGTGAACTTGGCTGCCAATGTCCTCCTTTCAGTCATTCCCGAGGTTGACATTCACGGGGCCTCTTTGATGCCCTTTTCCACCTCAGCTGCCACAGCCTTGTTTGGGGCAACCTCAATAAGTCTCTGACTTTTTCCTTCAACTAAAATTCATTTATTAAGCTCAGCATTGTTTTTTGTCCTCTAACTTGGCTTTTATTTTTGTTCTTCTTTTGCAGAGCAAAGTTCGAGCCCACAAAACAGCTATAGGAGAAACCAAGGCATCTCTCAAGGCTTTTGAGCTCAAGGTTGTCGAGCTATCCTTTGCAAATGACGATCTCCGAGCTCAAGTGAAAGATTTGAGCTCATCCAATTGTATAATTTCAACCTCCTTCTGCTTAATCGATGCCACATAGCATTCCCTTGCTACGCGTTGGTTTTCTCGAACCATTCCACACCGTTCTCTATCAGGAACTTCATTACCAGATGATAATTTGAGGGAATAGCTTGCATAGCATTAACAGAAGGTATCCCCAAGAGAATATTGTAGGCTGAAGGAGCCTCCACGATCAAGAAACGTACAGTGGTTGTTGACTGGCTAGGAGAATGAATGGATTCTAGGGGGAGCATTCTTTTTCCTTAGAATCCGAGTAAATGGGTTCTAAGTGACTCGAGCTTGGTCTCCGCCAATGTCCATCTTGTCAAAGGCTGATGCAAAGATGATATCAGTCGAGTGGTCATCGTGAGGATGCTAGCAGCCTTCTAGATCTGAATCCGAGAAGGTGATGTCCATGCATAACCGAGGTGACTTAGACACGGACTAGATTTCCAACACGTCTTCAGCTCGAGCCCTCCTCATGTGGCTTTTCTTGCTGAGCTAGTCTCCCCGCCCCTGAGGAATCCTCCCAAGATAACCATAATTTCTCTCATGGGTTGTTGGTGCTAAGGTGGAATTGGTTGTTGTGGTGCTGGGGGTGGGTAGCTCAATTCGAGCTCCTATGAAGTGGGACACGAGAGAGATGGACAGCTCTCTAAAAAAAGAAATTGACGCCGGAGCCAACCTATTGAACCAAACCAAACCTGAGCCCTTCAATATGATAGCAAAATCTCCACAACACATTGGATCGTGGCATCCATGCAGTTCAATTTGATTTTTTATAGGTGTTGAGGTGATCCATGGGATCCTTTGTCCCCTTAAACATCTCAATTTGGAGCATCCTAAATTTTTGGGAAAGAGGAAAATGTAACACCTTGGAGGTGAATGGAGACTCTGTTTGTCAAACCAAAACATCCATGATCATCGGAGTTTTGCTCTTTATCGCCTCCTTCATGTGGATTAGCTCTTATTGGATTTCTCTGAAACGTTGCTCCCAGAATTGGTCACTCCCATCTTACTGGAGAGGATCTGTAAAGAGCCCCTTTGTAGGAACTCCTTTGTTTTGACTCTGAACCTGTTCTTCTTCCCCACTTTCCTAAGCTCGATGGTAAACATTGTCAACCAAATAACTATGATCATTTTCTTCAGTGATTTCCCTTAAGGGATTCTGATGGAGATGTTCTCTTCGCGGGGATTCGTCCTGAGCTAGTTGTGCCCCGTGTGGATGCTGGGCATGAATGAGATTTAATAGATCTTTGTTTTGCCGGAGGAGGCGATTGTTGGCTTGTCGCAGGGCCTCGAGTTCGTTGTTCGAAGGAGGATCTGCCATTGGCAAA